ACCTTATGTTGATTAGAGTAACCCGTATAAAAGCCAGTTCACCTACTTTCTTCTTGTTCTTTCTATTGGTTAATAATTCTTCTCTATTAATCCTCCTCACTTGATCCATTGCACCTGTTAGAATATTTTCTTCATAGCCTTTTTCTCTAAACCTTTCCAACAACATATTTGCGTGCTCTTGAAATGTCTATTGTCATCACAATTCCTTTTGAGTCTAATCAATTGGCTTTTAGGAATGGACCTCAACCAATTTCTATGGTGACAACTGTGGATTGGGATGTAAGCATTCCTATCAACTTGTTTAAAATATGTTTTTGTGTGAAGATAGTCTCCCTGTCTATAGATGACTAAATCAAGAAAGTCTATAGATTCCATGCCGATATGATTAGTGAAAGTGATGTTATAAGGATTACACTCCATTCCACGGATGTACTCCTCTAAACCATTCCTAGTTCCCTTCCAGATTATCACGATGTCATCTATAAACCTTCTAAAGAGTAATAATTTCTCATTCACCTTTTCAAATATAGCTTTATCTTCCCACATACTCATAAAAAGGTTGGCTACTGATGGAGCATATTTCGCTCCCATCGCAACTCCAGTACACTGCCTATAATAATTGTTGGAATGCCAAAAATAATTATTTGACATTGCTAGGTCAAGACAATCTAGTAAAAACTCAATTTGATCACCTTTTAAACCCGATTTTTTTTTTTCCAATGCCCACCTCACTGCTGTTAAAGCATCCTCATGTCTAATGTTGGTATATAATGCATTAACATCAACACTGGCCAAAACACAGTTCTCTTTAATCCTTATTTTTTTCAAAACTGAGATCAAATCTCCACTATCCTTTAGGTAAGATGGAAAACCTGATACCAGGGGTTGTAGGAATTCGTCCACGTATTCCCCTAGTCTCGAAAACAGTGAGTCAATCCCATTAACAATGGGTCTTCCAGGGGGTTTTAATAAACTTTTATGTATCTTGGGTAGTTGGTATATAACAGGTGTAACAGGTGCTTTTGGTACCAAATATCTCGCTTCTTTTTTGTTTAAAAAAACCTTCTTTTTCACCTCTTTTCACTAGTTTCATTAATTTATTCTTGTAGCTTTTTATAGGGTTGCCCCTCAATTTCTCATATGTGTTTTCATCACCCACCAATCTATTCAGTTCTTCATAATAATCATTCCTATTCAACACCACCACCCCTCCTCCTTTGTCTGCTGATCTTATTACAATATTATTATTTTTTTCTAATTGTTGAATTCCTCTGATTAAATCATACTTCATCCTCTTATTTGGAACCGATAATACCTCCAGATCATATTCCACCATCTTTTTGAATGTATCTATACAGCAATTATTTCCTACTTTTGGGTTGAACACAGAGTTATTCCTCAAATTGGTGTGCTTATAAACCCCTTCATTCCCATCATTGCTCATTATTCCACCCTTATGAGAATCAATAACATTTAATTTGGAGTTTTTACTCCAATATTTTTTTAAATTTAATTTTCTAATAAATCTATGCAGATCTATATAAGTCTCCAATTTATTTAATTTTTTATCGGGTGCATACTTCAGACCCAATGCTAAGACCCTCAATTCATCCTCTTTTAGAATGTAATCGCTTAAATTGAAAATTCCTTTATTTACATTGACCTTTTCCTTTTTCCTTTTACCTCCTCTACATCCCCTGTATTTCTTCCTTCCCAATAGGGATCCTGATAGTTTGGGTCCTGGTAATTTTGATAATTCTGATAGTTTGGAGGTGGTTTCCATCCACCCCTCCCCCCTCTGTTTGGGTAATACTTGACCCCCTCTCCCTCTTGAGTTGTAAGCTCCTCTTTGGTTCCCCCCTATCCATGGCGGTCCCACAAAACCTCCTCTTGGAAAAACCTTTCCCTCATATTGATGATTATATGGGGATCCCATTAAAGGTCCAAATCTATTGTATGTGGGCACCCCATAGTTGGAAGTTGGATTCTCATCCATGTTCTTTCTAGGGGAAGAATTCTTTTGTACATTTTTGGAAAAATTTTTTTATAAATGTAATAGGTGTATGGCATGTAGAAATATGAGAGGAGATACTAAGAGGAGATATGATTCATTTCATTCTTGCTCTACGGGTTCCTCTTATAAAATAAATAATTTTATATCTTGTGACAGTTCCTTTGTTACGTATTTGTTGGAATGCTCTTGTCACCTTCAATACGTAGGTAGAACTTCCAGGAAATTGTCGGTGAGATTAGGTGAACACATTAGAAATATTAAAAAAGGATATAAATATCTATATTTTTTATATTCATTTTCATTTTTTTTATTTTTATCTTTATTTTCATTTTTTTTTTTATTTATATTTTTTTATTTATTTATTTTCATTTTCATATTTATTTTTATTTCTATTTTTATTTCACACATTCATTTTTTATTTTTATTTTTATATTTATTTTTATTTATTTTTCATTTTAAATAAAAAAATTTTACATTTTATTGCTATTTAGTATTGATGTTATTCATTGCTCATATATTAAAGAAAGTTTTTGTAATAGTGAGGCATTGTTTAATACTTTGTTCGTGTTTTTCCCACTGGGGACATGTGGTAATATACATGTCGCTTCTGGGAGATAATTCAACAGTGTCGGGAATAACTTGAAAAAGGATTTCTAATTGTGTAGGCATATACCTCATCTGTAAAGGACTCTCACGTCACATTACAGGAGGAGTGGTTTTTTTGATAATCCCGGGGAGGGTTTTGACCAATTGGAACGGAGGGGTGGGTCCCTGCTGGGGATATAAGGGAGCTTCAGACAGGAAATGAACGTCTTGAGAACGCCCGATGGGAGGGGCGAAACCGCGTTGACGCATTTCCGGTTCCTATTCCGTACGTCTGACGTCACTTCCGGTGAGTGGAGCGCACGCTGAGCGGTGCGTTCCAGCGGCCATCTTTTGGGATCTGTATATGCGGTGTCTCTGTAGAGCTTCTGCTGTAACCTGGAGCTGTGATGTGAGATTCCGTGGGAGGTTGCCTTGCATCTACTGTTCATCTGAAAGAAGCTGGTCCTAATAAATATGCCTTTTTAAAGTGAATTTAATGTGAGTGGCCTTAATCCTTGATTTCACTTATGAATGGTGTCTTACAATATTACACTATCTGAGATTTTTTTTCTCCCTGGTCGGATGGTGGAGCCTATGCTGGAGAGGAGGATTCCTATAGAGTGGATACGAAAGAGGGTTTAGGATCCCATAAAATTCCTAAGAGGCGTTTTATTCACCTATATCTGGTGAGTGCATTTGATATTGGTTTTCACGGGGGGAAGGTGGAAGTTCCTTTATAATAGAAGAAGAATTTGAAAATATTTCTTTTTGCACAAATATTTGATATTTTTTGAACTTTGGTTTATCTTGATGGACTTCACTATTGATTAATTTTTCATTTATGTTTGCACTTTGTATATTGATTTTATTTAGAGGTCTATGTTTGCGCTGTTTCTCTTTATTTTTTCATTATTTGTGTTGATCACAGTGCACAGCAGCAGGATAGAACCTGTAGTAGAGTGTTTCACTAGGCGCAGGAAGAATTTTTAGTTTTAATTGCGTAAATTACCTGACCCAGCAACAATTGCATTTTGGCTGCCGATACAACGACTTGTGGTCCATTAGCCAGAAAATCAATGTGCAGGGTGCAGCTGGGTGTGGCATTGTTACACACGTGACATCGCGGTTTCAGATTGGCTAGTCCTTCGGTCACGAGTTTGGTGAGAAGGTCAGGGGTCTGACGCACGATCGTCAAAGACTGAAGAGGGGACAGCCTATGGAGAGGTAGGCCTATGAGAAGGGAGTTGCAATAGTCAAGGCGAGAGATTACAAGGGAGTAAACAAGTTGCTTGGTGGTTTCATTGGTTAAAAAGGGGCACATTTTTAGAGATGTTAAGGAGGTGAAGTCTACAAGCTTTTGACAGCGATTGGATTTTGAGCCGAAAGGATAGGTCAGAGTCTAGGATTACACCTATTACCCTGGCTTGAGGGGAGGGATTGACCGTTGTATTATTCATCTTGATGGAAAAGTCATGTAGAAGTGAATATTATCAGCTCTGTTTTAGAGAGATTTAGTTTAAGGAAGTGGTGCAAATCCATGCTGATGTAAGGTAGTAATGCAAGAGGAGACTGAAGGAGTGAGGCGAGGAGTATAGAGATAGATTTGGGTGCCGGCATAGAGGTGGCATTTGAAGCCATGGGAGGTTATCAGGTGACCACAAGAGAAGGTGTAGATGGAGAAGAGAAGGGGTCCAAGAACAGAGCCTTAAGGAACCCCAACAGAAAGAGGAAGAGACAGTTATAGGCAATACTGTGACAGGTAGGCAAACCAGGATAGAGCTGAATCTCGGAGACCCAAGCTGTGGACTTTATTGGGAAAGAGCGGGTTGTCAACAGTATCAAAGGCTGCAGAGAGGTCTAGTAGTAAGAGTATGGGAGTAGTGGCCATTGGTAAATAGTTGGTGCATTTTAGTAGGGCAGTTTCTATGGAGTGCTGCGAGTGAAAGCTAGATTGTAAGGGGTCAAGAAGGTTGTTTTCAGTGAGGTAGGAGCAAAGACAGTTGTCGACAAAGCATTCTAAAAGCTACTACTAAAAGCTACCCAGTACCATTTAGAAGAAAAAAAAAAAAAAAAAAAAAAAAAAAAAAAAAAAAAAAAAAGGGAGAAGAAATGTTGTATTTTCTGTTCTGCTTTTCATTGATCTAAAATGGAAAAAAAAAAAAAAAAATTCCACATTTTGCCAATAGATTGTGCCAAGTATCATAGGAATGTTCTAGGATTGTTGGTAACATCTATTGGCCAAAGGTGGTATTTTCAGTTTTACAAACAACATTCATCTAGCATAGGAAATAGCCTAACCTTATTTTTTTCTGCCTCCCCCACAGACAACAGGCACTTTTACTGGGCAAATTGCTGTGAACTTTTTTTTTCTTTTTAGAAATCTAGGTGTTGAGTCAGCTCATTATAAGCCATATACAAAATGTAAACTTACTTCAAAACCTCCAGTTTCCACCAGGATATCATGAAGAAGTCTTATGTATTCTGTGGCTGCTTTCAGTGTATCCACTTTGCTAGGTTTTCGGTCTTTAGGGATGAGAGGCACAATGGTCTTCAGCTTTGAAAATCCACTATTGATATTTCTGATCTGTTAATAAAATGTTCATTAAGGTTAAGAAGACTGGACCAGAACTCCAGGCCAGCAGATGAATACATATACCAAAGATTTGTTATTTTGTTCATCTAATCTTGTGATATACACAAACAGTGCTAGACTGCAAATCGTGGCAGGGGATACTTGTCCCGGTTTAGTCTTTTTATTTATTTTAGGTTTATTCAATTCAGTTTTGACAGAAGCCAATTATCCTACCAGCATGTCTTGGAGGAAACCCACGTAAGCACGAGAATATGAAAACTGTATCACTTCATGGCTGTTCACCAAATTATGAATCATCACTTGTCCAGAGAGTAAGGAGATAATCCAGGAATCAAGATGAAATAAGATTTGTTGATTTTATTAGCTGTACAGCAAGACACAGAAGTGTCATCCCACCATTTGGCACTTCTGCCTTGCTTCTCCCACAGCTTAAAGATGGTGAAGCCAGACTGTCATTCATATCCCACACATCGAAGACAACCCTGCCCTTCCCGTTACAGTTGTGCCACTGCTTTCTGCTCACGTCAATGACTGTAGTGGTTAGTGAAGGAGATGAGGGATAGGCTACTGATTTTTGTAGTATTTGCACATTAACAGCACTTTTTGGTCTGTACATTAGTGGGAAAGGAAAAGTGCATTTTAGTCGATGGTGCTGCATTTCTGCTGACGGTGCAGATTACAAAAGATACAACTATGATCACATGTTAGGGGACCGTAATGATTTGCTTCAAGGACTATCAAGAAAATTTAACAAAATGGGACATTTTAGCACATTATGAAAGACCTTAAAATGAAGCCATCCAGTGGCGTGCTGTCACTGCTGACGAACTTCCATCTAAATCAGGTCTTCCTTTCATGTTTGCAAGCTCCGGCCTTCTGACGACGTCACCGTCTGCACGTAGAGAGCAGTTGTATGCATTTGTAGCCAGGTGCTGGACTACAGAAACATGAAGGAGTAATTTCCCTCTACTCAACCAGTTTACTTTCACTTTGCACTGAGATACTGATGTTAAGAAGCCCATGGACTTCAATGCAGGGCGCTTGGAATCCTGGGGAGGTGTAGTCTAAAACTGAAGCCATGTTATACAGGAACTGACTTTCAGAACTAGAGATTCAAAAACCAGTGTTTGTGTGTACTTTCACTAACAGATGTGCTGGATTTTATCCCCTACTTTTTCTTCTTTAGGGAAACAAAATCCAGCACATGTCTACTTACAAGATAGAGCTCTGCCTTATTTACATAATTTACATTATTTCCAGCCCCCACTTATCGAACTGTGCCATGTCTAATCACAACACAACAGTGTTTCCAGCGGTGTGCACGTGTGCCCCCTAAACTGGAAGTGCTGGATCATGTACTAGGTATGTGATCCGGCGCAGGAGAGCCACTTTGCCAGTAAATGGTTAAAGTTACGGTCAGTGATTTCTCATGGTATTGTGCGAGTTGTGCAATCAAACTAGTGTGTCATGGAAGTTGAGGTCTTTGAGAAGGTTGAGGCCAAGAACAGAGGACCCAGCTTAACCAGCGGCAATTTCAGGGATAGTGCTACACACTCATCAAGTTTGCCGACATTGACCACCCTTTCTGCCACTCCTCTAGTTATAGACATTGTACTAAAGCTTCCATGAAAAAAAAAAAAAAAAAAAAAAAAAAATAATATATATATATATATATATATCTATCTATGAATGGAGGAGGCAGACCTTTCATTCACCCACCCATCCTCTTGCCACAGCATGCATTTAATTCATGGAAGCTATAGTACAGTTTCTAGGAGTATAGGAGGTGGACAGTTATAGCTGGCACTCTTGATGTGTGGCAGGCGCAGCACCTTTTGGTGCCTTGTGCTGTGGCATTAGAAAAATGATGCAGTTGCCGTTTCTTTGTTTGATTAGACTGACTTTACTCTGTAATTCCTCCAATGCCGCTCTATGGATGCAGTAGGTTTAAAGAGCACATCGAATACTTTAGTTAACTTCTTTAATAACTTCAATCTTCTTCATATAACACTGCTTACAATGGCTTGTTTTGTTTATTTTACAGTGACTTATTTCTTTCATATTACAGTGGTTTAATTCATATTACAGTGGTTTGATTCGATAACGAATCTATCGAGATAAGCTCTGTATATTTCGATAGATTTGTTAGAGTCGGTAAATTCGGTGGAACTACAAGTAAACACATAAATTTTACATACAGATCTACTTGCACTGCTAAACAGGAGGAAGACACAAGTGCATTAAATACTTATTTGGCCTGCTCTGTTTCCATTAAGCTTCTATGACTGGAACTCGTCTGTTTCCTCTTCTGTCTGGTGAGCATGTGTCTAGAACAGTGGTCGGCAAGCCGCGGCTCGCGAGCCACATGCGGCTCTTTACCCACTCTAATGCGGCTCTTCTGTGTGCCGGGCGCCCGCTCCCCTCCCTCCTCTCGGTCGGCCGCTCCCCTGCCTCCTCTCGGTTGGCCGCCCCAAAAGTCCGCGCGGACCTTTTAATCCGGCCCGCGGATGTGGCTGTCAGGATGTGTGTAGGCGGGGCAGCGTGCCAAACGTGAGGGGAGCTAGGCTCCTCTCACAGTCCGCCCTGAAGACCCGAACGGCGCGGGAAGACAGCGAGAGGAACGCGCGGAACAAAGGTAAGTGAATTGACACGGGGGACTTGGCTTACTAGAAGGGGGGGGGGGAATAGTACTGTGAGGGATGAAATACTATATGAGGGATGAATTACTATATGGGGGGATGAATTACTATATGGGGGGATGAAATACCATATGAGGGATGAATTACTATACGGGGGATGAATTACTATATGGGAGATGTATTTTCAGTTTTAAAAATGTGGCTCTCAAAATAAATTTCAATCATGGTTTTGGCGAGATTTGGCTCAGTTGAAAAAAAAAGGTTGCCCACCACTGGTCTAGAACAATCTAGCAGGGAGTTTTACACAGGCATAAAATGTGAAACTGGCTGGGATTGGTTAAGGCTCTGTACAGTGTGAGGCTGTCTGCGATTGGCTCACCTATATACTAACTCTTAAAGGCATATTTTCCTTTTCTGCTTACACAATGAATATATAAATGTCATAACATTCAAAGACATAAATTACAGCAATGATTCTGCCTTTGGCTTTAACATATGCACATATATACTGTACTGAGGTTATTGGCAGGTTTGGTATACACATATATGTGAATCATATTAGCAACCTAGGACTGGTCTTAGCTGGCCAGCTACGAGTACGTGACAGCTCCCTCAATCCCCTGTAGCACCAGAGGATTACAATTTTTTTTTTCACTAAACTTAAGCTTTAAAAAAAAAAAAAAAAAAAAAAAAAAAAAAAAAAAAAAAAAAAAAAAAAAAAAAAAAAAAAGGAAAGTATTAAAAGGAAGTAAACTGTGCAGAAATAAAAATTAGCAATTAAACTTTTAGGTGGCACTTTTACAGAGCATTGTCTAGAAGGGCATTTGCAGTCACACATGATATACTTATCTAGAGTGATTGGAGACAACTGCTCACCCGCTCCCTTTCCTTGGCATTGGCTGCCTGTCTCCTTTCCAGAATATCCTGAAAATTCTCAATACACAGGTAGTGTCCAGATGAGTGCCTCTTCATCTTGTTGATGGAGGACTGGTTTGGTAGGTAGTCATAGTGTTCCTTCAAGACATCTCCCAGCAGTTCCGGAGGAGGAGTAATGCACAGTGCAGGAAGGTCACTTTTCCTGGTGTTATAAGTGGCTTGCTGCTTTGAATCGAATAAAAGTTAAGTACTTTTCATATTAAATTATCCTAAATTCCACTCTATTCACTTTTTCATGCATGTATGAGAAAATGCCTTAGAAAATAGTGGGTTGTATAGTGGAGTTACAATATAAAAAGGAATAGTCTGGTAGCACAAATACTCCACTTGAGTCACTGAAACCATCTGAAGCAGCAGTTCAGGCCCAGAAATATGAGCACATTTAAAAAAGGACAAGTTCACTTTATTAAAAAAAAAAAAAAAAAAAAAAAAAACACAACATGCACATTTTTTTTTTTTGCAGGTCTGCAATGTCAGGGTCTTGCAGACTGTCAGCACACGGTCTGCCCATACCGCCGATACAGCCAGGCAGTTACTACAGTCCTGGGAGCTCAATGGACTATGAGAGCACTCACCAGCACACTCGCAATACATTAAGTACAAGATATCAGTTACAAAGGTATTCATTCACAGGATAAATTGAATGATGCGACTGTGTGGGTGAAGCCTCGCACGGCCATGTTAGTTTCAAATTGTGCCAGCGGGTGTGGGTAGAAGAACCCCTGCTCGCTGTCACATGTTCCAAAAGGTGAACTTATCCTTTAATTGTATACTACTATGGTGCGAAATATTTAATGGCAATTTTGGTGTCATAGGTTTGCAAATTGTCATAATATTGGCAATAAAAATACCAGTATTGAATGGTTAGGGAACATTAGGTTTTACAGACCTGGGCAAACTGTGGCCTGTCCAGCCCACCATGCCTCCACTGTCAGCATGTCTCTTGGAGCCTGTCAGCTTCCTCACTGAGCTCAACGGGAGAGTTCGACAAATGGTACCATTTCTCAAACTCTGCACCCAAAGTTAAAAATGCAGCGACTGCGAAGCAAAGCATCATGGTTGCAGCATGCGAACAGCCCTCTCCAGCTGTTCTTTAATCATTCCAATGGGGGGTGGTTTAAACTAGCTCACCTTCCTTTTTTTAACCACTCCTCATCTGAAAGACTTATTTCATAAGTAGTTATACCTAGTATGCCAAGCGTCAGGTGTGTGTTTTTTGAAATGTGTACTTGCGGATCATCCCAAAATTAATAAATGAGCAGAATCAAAGAGTAACCCCACTTTTGTTGATAGAAAATAAAAATCCCCTCTGGGTGATCTTATGTACATTGCAAGGATTTTCACACATGCGTTTGACGCGTTTTTGCAGCATTTTGTGTTTTTTTTTTCTCTTGTTGCTAGGCAAATAAAAACGCAAAATGCAGCAAACACACACTACATGCTTTTCTGCAGTGTCTCCATTGAAGTCTATAGAACCAAAAATGCAACTTTTTGGATTTAAAAAAAAGTCCCTGACCCTTTCCAAAAAATGCACCGGGTGAAAACATGGAGGAGATGTGAATGTGTCCCATAAAAATTCATGTTAAATGGATTTTTGTGCATTTCTGCAAAACGCTTAGGTGTGAACCTAGGGTTAGACATGGTTTTCCTGTAGAACCATCGGATCAGAACTTAGGTTTTTGTTGCAGGGGGATGCCAAAAATCTGACTTGTATCTTAGTTTAGCCAATCACTCAAGCAAAAAATGACATTTTCAGGGAGCTTTCTGTACACCATCTGTGTACAAAATGCCTCCAAGTAGCCGTATCGCATTTTACAGAAAATTACAGCACTGCAGATTGAGAGGGAAAGCTACTTTTTATAACATCAATTTACAATATGAATTGTGCCACAATTGTATATGCTATATTGTTCTTTTATTTGCTCATCTGTTTCCCCCATGATGTTTGGCCCTCCTTAATCCCAGTTTCTCAAGTGGCCCTTTGAGAACACGCATTTCACACTCCACTCATTTCCCATTGTATGTAAAGCACAAAAAAAAAAAAAAAAAAAAAAAAAAAATAATAAATGGATGTCCTCCAATTCCACATTGCAAACTATTCTAAACAATTTCAAGCTGCCTATAGAGTAGTGCAAACCTTTTCCAAAGAAACGTAAATATTTTTTAGGGTGCACTGTGTGAATGGGAAAACAAAAATGGGGGAGGGATCGCAAATTTGACTGTAGAGGTAGAAATCCATTTTAATGTTCTTTACACTCATCTAATGATAGCTTCACATGCTTGATATGGTTTCATTCCTGTACATGAACACCTAGACTGACCCCCAAAAAATATACAGAACAAAAAACCCTCCACACATTTGTATGCCAAGACTTGGATGGTGCTATTTCATCTACAGTACACTGCTGAATCATAGATTTTATAGCAAAGCACTCTTGTCTAGAATACTATGTTCATGAATATTTGCATACTATGCATCTAAATAAACATTCCATGAGGACAGATTTTGCTTATCTAAAATCAGGACCAGTGAAAAGCTGGCATGGAACTAACCTTATGTGTCAATAGGGCAAGATTTACTAGTGTGAGATTAGGGGAAGTGAACATGGACTTGATTTGCTGGAGTGTTCAGGCGATCCTGTGTATGTCAGCCACCTAGAATCAATGTTTCCAGGCAATCAGACTGATAATAAAACATGCCAATTTGTGAACTGCTACATCTCCAGACATTGGGGATAGGTGCTGTTTAAAGTCCAACTCCAGCTCAGAGGTTATGCGACACTCAGACTGTCATGGCTGAACTCTCCTTTCGGGAATGCTAGTGCCTTGGCTGTCATGCTGAAGCCTTTTCTTCAGCTCTGAGTAGATGACCTTGAACAAAGTATAAAGAGAAGGTTTTCGGAAACTCATTTACAGTGTGCTTGTTCTGGGTCTGAGACTTAACATTTCCAGCCCTCATGCCCCTCTGAAAACAAAAAAAACTGTTAAAAGTCAGCAGCTGCTGACTTAATATATGGGCACTTACCTGTCCAGGGATCTTCAAGCCGATTCTTCAATCTGCTGTCGGTCGCTGGGGCCACCATCTTAACTAAGGGCAGAAAGCAGCGAAGCCTTGCAGCACCACAGCTGGTTTCCTACTGTCAGTTTTTTTTTTTTTCTGTCCCATTGGAGAGATTTTTCTTTCACTTCCTGTCACACAGCCAAAACAGGAAGGGAGAGGCAATCCCAGTACACAGGTAAACAGAGAAGGTGAATCTCCCTTAGGCCCCTTTCACGTTGATCTGCTGTGGTTTCCCCACAATGCAGGTGCAGCAGTCCTGCATGCAAGACTTTTGGTGGGGAGAAAAAAAAAAAAAAAAAAAAAGGTCACCAAAACTTCCCAATCTAATGGCAGAGTGCAGGTAACCTTCATGGGGAAACAACGGATCAGTGCGAAGGGGACACAGACACCACAAAAAACCTGACGACAGGCATACCACACAGTTTTACTTTAACATAACAAAATTGCATTTTTCAAGAACAAGGATGTTTGTTAGAACAAGGACAAAATTACTAGTTCAGTAGAAAATGGCCCTGAAAGGGACTTTTCGTGCATCACATTTATTTACACATAGGTATGTACATAAGGATTTGTACAGTCCGCTCCCACTTTTCCCCCAAGTGCCCCATTACCTTCTCTGCTGGGAGTTTGTGCACACCTGTCTCCATGCTTTCCCTGTGGGCCGATTCCTGGGGTTCCTCAGATCCTGCCAGCACCTCGGAGGCCATGGCGTAGTGGGTACTGTTGGTGGGAACAGGGGACATCATACATGAGTTCACAGAGGAGATCTCTGACACATAGAAACACACAGCTATAAGCATTAGAGATCTGCTATTACAGCTGAAAAGAATAGAAAAATCTCTCCCAATATTTCCATCAGCTCTGCTACATGGCTGGAAGCCTTCATCTGCTGCTTAGATTACCATCAGATTGGTTGAGAATCAGTATAATTGTATGCATTGGTGAGTAACATGTTTGGTTCTCTATAATATCTGGCAGAAGAGGATGTTTAAATCATGTCCTGCTGTATTGACAAACCTATTCTCTTCCCAAACTCATTGCATCACTTCTGAAGATGAGGCCAGGTTTTAAGGCTGCTCCTCTATGAGCAGGTGCAGTAATCAGTGTTGCTAGTGTCCAACCTGCATGAGGGCCATTGTGACCTCATAAGTCTGGCTGATGATTTAACCTCTTGTTGGTTATTGCTTTATTTACAAGGCACGGAGTGGGTACACTTTTATTAGGGATTTAATATGTATACTGTATATATTTGATATGTATTAAAGCTATACAGAGGATGTTTAGTAGCTGAGTCAAGCTGCTACAATTACTGGCAAGCAATCATTAAGGGCCCTATTTATAATGTGTGGCCCCTTACTGCAGCTACTTTAAAAAAAAAAGGCACATTTTTAAAGCACAGTGGGGGGCATTAAATAAGGCATTTGTAGGACATTTGTGAATGTAGTCCAGCCTTGTGCCAAATTAATGAAAACCCTCTGACATTTTTTGTTGTTAGGTCTGACGTGTGAAAATTCAAGTGGTTCTTAATGGCAACACTTACTGTATGGTGGTATTGTTGCAACAAATTCATGCCACCACGGGTGCTAAGGAAAGTGGCGGAAGATAAGGCTAATATAAGTAAACTGTTGATTAACCCCTTGGCGCCAGCGCCTCCAGGCCCTTAAAGGGTTCCAGAAGCCGAGAGGCGGGCGTGGTTTTAGGGTCATGTGACCGCCGTGATTCGCTGTCACGGCGATCACATGATCGGGAAAGGTCCCGATCGAAAGAGGAGATCGGGACCTTTCTGTGAGTACCGAACATGTGTGCTGGGAGCACGCTCTTAGCACGGTTTTTTTTAATAGAATGCAAATGTGCGGCCGCTCGGCGTCTAGGCCCAGACACCGGGAGGACGCACATTTGCGTTTGGTTAAGTTGCACATGTAATTTATGTGTCACATCTTTGAGACAAAATGTGTCTTTAAACCCTTCCTGCTGCCACCTCCCGGCAATTTAAGTGGATCAAACTGCCAGAAGGCAGGCATTCTGATCATGTGACCGCTGTGACCACTCCTGATCGCAAGTATACATCGAGCTTTCCATGACACATTCGTTATTGTACTGGGAGTACACAGGGAGCATATATGCACATATATGTGACCACTCAGCACTTGCCCTCCAAAGGATTTACCCCCCTTCCTGACCAGGCCATTTTTTGTGATACAGCACTGCGTTATTTTAACTGACAATTTAGCGGTCATGCAATGCTGTACATAAATTAAATTGATGTCCTTTTTTTCCCCCACAAATAGAGCTTTCTTTCGGTGGTATTTGATCACCCCTGCGTTTTTTCTTTTTTGCGCTTTAAACAAAAAAAGACCGTAAATTTTGAAAAAAAAACAAAAAAAAAGATTTTTGACTTTTGCTATAAAACATATCCAAAAACAAAAATAAAAAAAATCAAATTTCTTCATAAATTTAGGCCAAAATGTATTCTGCTACATGTCTTTGCTAAAAAAAAAATCCCAATATGTGTAAATTAATTGGTTTATGTGAAAGTTATAGTGTCTACAAATGGCGGCATATATACTGGAATTTTCTGTTTTATTTTGGTATACTAGTAATGGCAGTGATCAGTGACTTATAGCAGGACTGCAGTTGGCATTCTGACACTGGTTGGGCACTGACTAACTGCCACTGACATCCCCAGTGATACTAATACAGTGATCAGTGCTAAGAAAAAGCACTGACACTGTACTGACACTGAGCAGGAAGGGGTTAACATCTGGGACGATCAAAGGGTTACCTGTGTGCTGTGTGTGTTTTACTAGGGGACATGCTGCTTTGTATTTCTGTGCTGTGCAGAGAAATACACAGCAGCATGTCCTTGCTGGCAGGAATAACAGATCACACATATATATATATATACGTGATTTTGCACACGCCTGCTGTCCTGTAGCTGTACTTCTGCTATAGGGCGTGGGAGAAGTAGTTAAAGCCCACCCACTGAAAGCCCACATATATGCATACGGCCAGCGGGAAGAAGTTAACATGGAACTTCACTCTCTCAATCAACATTGACTATTTTGAATCCTTATGCTGCTAGCATTAGTAAATAGATAGGAAAGTATATCATATTTACTTGTGTTAAACTTTTTTTTTTGTTACATTTGTAGCACCCTCCTAGTCAGGTGCTAGGATGTGTAAAGTTAGGTTAAGCACAGCTGTATTTCTCTGCTTACCAGAGAGGCTGTCAGGTAAATTCAGTGAATTATTCTGCTCAACAGAGTGCTGTGATCGATTAGTTAGACCTGCTCATGCTGCGCTGGTGCTTTTGGAGTTTGTCTGTTCTGCTCGTCTTCGGGACTAGGGGGTGTTCTTCAAAGTGATTTCTCAGCAAAATAAAGCACGGAGACATGGGTGGATGGGGGGTTTTGCTTTGAGTATTAAAAATGAATTAAATAGTGTTGTGGGCTTGTGGTGCTCAGATGAGGTGTAGTTCTGCTTTAATCCTTTCGCCGCCAGGTCCATACGTCTCACAGACCTGACGGCGGCGGGGGGTTATGCACGAGCAGGTGGCTGCAGCCACTGGGATTGTGTATAAAACTGGCAGCAGGCACACTCTTGCCTGTCAGGTGGAGACAGTCAGGCTGCTGCACTGCTACCCCCGATCGCTTCCAAAGCCCCAAATCTTAACAGCAGGCATCCTTAACCACTCAAGTCCGGACACTTTCACCCGCTACCTGTCCAGGCCAATTTTCAGCTTTCAGTGCTATCACACTTTGAATGATAATTGCATGGTCATGCAACACTGTACCCATATTAATTTTTAGGCATTTTTTTTAAACAGATACAACTTTCTTTTGGTGGTATTTATTCACCACTGGTATTTTTATTTTTTTGCTAAATAAATGAAAAAGTCCAAACATTTTGAACAAAAAAGTGTTTTTCTTATAAAATGTTGCAAATAAATAATCTTTGTTCATAAATCTTGTATTCATCTATCTTTTTAGTAAAAAAAAAAACCTAAATTAGTTTATAACCAAAAATTATAATTTTTCAACATTTTTTGACATTTTTATTTTATTTTTTTATATTATTATTTATGGTTTGTTTTAACATACTGTCACCCTAGCAGAACAGTGTCACCATAGTGACACTGTACTACTTCTGGGGGGTGATGAAGATTTTTTTTTACACTGATTGCTTTTACACCCATAAAGGCTGTAAAAGCATCATTTCTCCTCTGGCTGCATTCTTGCAGCCATTGAGAAATACTGTGTGAGCTGTGATTGGTCACCACCATGTGACCTTTGTGATCATTCACAGATTTCACTAGTAGTAAGCAATGATGTCAGAAGTGACATCTTGCTTACTACTATTCATGTGATCACTGATTGGCCAATCAGTGATCACATGATCAGAACCTCACAAGGAGGTCCTGTACAGCGATCGGTACTGGATCGCGGTGCTGCACGTTCCCAGAGAGCGCGCACAGGCGGGGAGCGGGGAGGACGTTTATAAACAGCAACCCACTCCTGCAATGCTCCCGTGCGGCCGTTTATATACATAGGACGGATGGTAAGTGGTTAACCATTAGCCGCCCGGCCAATGGCCGTTTGGCGGCTTCAGAAGTGCTGCGGCATTCCGGGTGCACGCCATTTGGCGTGCACCCGCACATGTGCAGTTTGAGGTAATGCAGAGCCTCGCAGCGGCGCGATCTGTCACCCGCCGTGTACCTCGGACACGGCCGATGACAGATCTGAGTACCGGCCCCTGTTGCTGGTACCATGTGACCTGCTGTGACCAATCACAGCAGGTCACATGACAGTTGTATACAATGGATGGCTTCATTCATGCCATCCATTGTATACTACTGCCTAGCTGTGAATGGTCACAGCTAATCACATGCACATGTCATGTGATTAGCTGTGACCAAATCACAGCTAAGCACAAAAAAAAAAAAACCTGAATGAATCGATTTCATTCAGGTAAATGCTTGCTTATAGCAAAGTAATTCTTTGCTATAAGCAAATTGTGTAAAAAAAAAAAAAAAAATACTGATCACTGATCCCAAAGTAGTACAATGTTACTATGGTAACATTGTACTACTTTGGTCATAGTACAATATGAAAAAAAAATTCTTAAAAAAAATAAAAAAATGTAATAAAAAATTAAAAATAATAAAAAAAAAAAAAATATATATATATATATATATTTTTTTTTTCATACTGTCACCAGTCAGTGTCCCTATTCACCGCCGTGCCAGTTATATGATGCCACTGTACTGCACTGGTGACAGTATGTAAAAAAAAAAAATAGTGAAAATAATTTTTTAATTTTTTTTTATTTTCCGAAAAATTATGACAAAAAAAATACAACTTCAAAAAACTCGCCATGCCTCTTATGAAGTACGTCGGACTGTCTACTCTGCAAAAAGGGGTCATTTGGGGGATATCTGTACTGTTCTGACATTCTTGACTCTGACTTTCCTATAAACTAAATAATACATCCTAATTTGGGTTATTTTCACCAAAGACATGTAGTAGAATACATCTTGGCCTAAATTTATGAAGAACAATTATTTATTTGTAAACTTTTAGAACAGAAACAAAGAAAAACGTGTTTTTTTTTTTTTCAAAATTTTTGGTCTTTTTTTGTTAATTTAGCAAAAAATAAAAACCCCAGCGGTGATTAAATACCACCAAAAGAAAGCTCTAGTTGTGTGAAGAAAATGATAAAATTTTAGTTTGGGTACAATGTTGTATGACCGCGCAATTGTCATTCAAAGTGTGAGAGCGCTGAAACGTGAAAAATGGCCTGGGCAGGAAGGTGTAAAATTGCACGGTATTGAAATGGTTAAAGGGTTAAACTTGAACTACCGTGAGATGGTTTTCTAGAGAGTATCTACAACAGTCTTTATGAATTCCTGGCATTTGGCGTAAAACGTCTTCTGTGTAGTCATTCCTTGCATATCAGAGTATACAGAGCAATATTTACAATGCTCTGGGTCTGTGATGACAGCTCACAAATCCAGAGATATCTCATGTGTTTTATGTGATTTGACATGTACATCTTTCATGTACTAGTCTACATTCTGTAAGGGAAATTATGTTTGGTTGGTATGGTTTACTGCCCTGTTTGCTGAGTATTCTGGACATTAGATATGTATAAAGATTCACATTGTCATATTTATTATTTCAGGTACTTATATAGTGCTGTCAATTTACTCAGCACTTTACATATATATATTGTACATTCACATCAATCCCTAACCCTCAAGGGGAGTACAATCTAAGAACCCTAAGTCACATTCATACATACACATACTAGGGCCAATTTTGAAAGGATCCAACAAACCTATAAGCATGTCTTTGCAATGTAGAAGGAAACTGGAGTTCCCAGAGGAAACCCGCGCAGGGAGAACATGCAAAGTCAAGGCGGGTGTTACCATGGTTGGGATTCAAACCAACGACCCTAGTGCTGCCATGCGGAAGTGCTAACCATTTAGCCATTGTGCTACCCCGTCATAGGGCTTAGTTTATACCTGCACTGCTCTCGGAAAAGTGATGCGCAGTGATTAGAGAGGCAATACTGCCACGTCCTGAAAGCCTGGTTATTTCTAGACAGCTGAATGGGGGTTTTCAATGGGAATACCAAACACTAGGCTCACAGTTGCTGCACAGCCCCATTCACTTGAATAAATCACGTTTTGGCAGAGGTATTGCACGCCAAACGCGACAGGAGGTATCATTTTTGCAGTGCTATGAAGAAAAGCATCACAGCTGAAGCTTGTGTACAACTGTCTTTCCAACTTAAAGGGATAGTTCACCTTTACCAAAAACTGCCTATGCAGATAAAAGACAAACAGTGCAGCTTTTGCTAAAGATAAAGGGCTAGTTCACCTTTACCTGAGAACTGTCTACAGTATACAAATAAGGAGTGTTTTGTAGATAACTGTACAGCAGCTCTGACTAAGTGACCATGCTTATAGGTGTAGGGTGGCCATTTACATACCTACTGGAGCCTGATTGGAATACTCCCAGGTCATTGCTAAGTGAGGCCTAGTCATTACTGTTCACCATCACACCAGTGAGCATTTTCTCTTATTCAAACCCTCTCACATACACTTTCTCTCCACAGATGTAGTAGTTCTGAGGTCAACATTTGAGAGCTCACTTTTGTGATGGTGAACAGTAACAACTAGGACTCAGCAACATCCTAGCAACCTCCTTAGGGCCAGTTAACACCAAAAAAACGCAGTCTGGATGTGTTCCGGATGCCTTTTTGCATGTGTGTTTTCAATGCATTCTGGTGTATTTTTGATGCAATTCTGATGCATTTTCAATAGGCCCCAGTGCGTTTTTTTTACCAAATTTTTTTGTGTATGCTTTTTTTTCTTTCTGTAATAAATTCTGGTGTGTTTTTGATGTATTTAGATTAACCTCCTTGGCGGTATGATTCCTTCTGATTTTTTGTGCTGAAAGCGGTACCATTTTTTCGCATGGAAATAGTTTTTTATTGTAGGCTGTAATTTTTAGGAAAATTTCCCCACAAATCATTATCACTCAATTCTGTAAGTGGTTCTGATTTACTATCGCTGTTCTCTAGCCGGTCTAAAACCGCTTTTGACGTAAAGGGACGCTTTTTGGACGCCATGGACTTTTCTAAGTTTCCAGGCAGAAAGAACAGACAAAATGCAGGCAGGGCACAGGGCAAAGCACTAGGGACAATATGTATGTGAAATGGGATGAAACAGCAATGTTTTACTATTTAAAATTGAAAAAAAAAAATTGACATTTTTTAAATTTTTTAAATTTCCCGCCGCCGGCGGCGGCGTCCCCCGTACGTCCCGACGTCACGGGGACCGGAACACAGAAGCCGGATGCCGGCATCGGCCGGAGGAGATGGCCGGGGACGCTGCAGGGGACACATCGTGGGAACGAAGGACAAGGTAAGTGCTGCAGGGACCCCCAGAGCAGCGCCGCATGGTAAGCCCGAGTGTAGCTCGGGGTTACCGCTTGTGGTATAGAAATTCTACCCCGAGCTACACTCGGGAAAACCGCCAGGGAGGTTAATTCCAGTGTGTTTTTGATGCGTTTTGCTGCGCTATAGTGCAGATCCTTGCAGAAAAAGTGCAGCATGTTCTACTTTTCTTGACTGTACTGGAACACACTGCAATGGTGTGAACGTTTATCATTGGAATCCATGTAACCTACTGTCCGTGCATTTTTTATGGAGAAAAAAAATGCACACTGGACTGCATGTGGTGTGAACTGGCCCTGAGAGTATTCCAGTCAGGCTTCAGTAGGTACATAAATGGCCTACACCTATAGTAAGGTCATTCTTCAACTTAAGTCAGATCTGTACAGTTTGTTTTTATCTATAGCCACCCCTTATATGCATAGATTATTTTTAGGTAAATGTGAGCTAACCCTAGGAAGATTCTAGCCCCCCATTTTTGATTCACTTCAATGTGGACAATATGAAAGGTCGGCCAAAGTCAGGTGACTTCAGAAATTTCTGGAATATCTAAGGTGCCGGGGGGGGGGTCATTATTATTACATCAATTTAAGGTCAAATGATCTTAGATTGGGATAGTTCACCTTCAACAAAGAACTGCCTATGCAGGTAAGAGGCGTCTGTGGATACAAACAAACTGTGTCTATGACTAAAGTTGAATAATGTCCTTGCTATAGGTGTAGGCCATTTACGTACCTCATGAAGCCTCACTGGAATACTCCCAGGATGTTCCTAAGTACTTCCAGGATGTTGCTAATTGAGGCCTAGTCATTTCTGCTCACCCCGTCCATCACAGAAGTGAGCTTTTTCTCTGATTGCTCTCATGCTCTTTCTCTCCCAGATGTTGTAGCTTGGAGCTCAGCATCTGGGAGCTCACTCCTGTGATGGTGGAGGTGAGCAGTAATGACTAGGCCTCACTTAGCAACGTCCTGGGAGTATTCCAGTCAGGCTTCATTAGGTATGTAAATGGCGTACAACTATAGCAAAGGTATTTTTCAACTCTAATCAGAGCTGCGCAGTTTGTTTTTCTCTACAGACACCCCTTATTTGCACAGGCAGTATTTTTGTAAAGGTGAACTATCCCTTTAATTTTAATGCTTTGGCAGCTCGAGTCTTAAAGCAGAACTTCACTCTGTCCGTCAACACTGACTATTTTTAATCCTTATGCTGCTATCATCAGTAAATAGATTATTCTGATTTTAATCTGATTTTATCTGTCTACTTGCTTGTTTGTATACCAATGCATTTTTTCCATCTGTGTCATCTGTTCTTATCGCATGATGCTCATATAAACACCCCCTCATGCTCCGATTAAGCTCCAAGGGGCTGAGTGAAATGCATTGGGAGCATGGCATGGCTGGAGTCCTGTCTAAGGCTGCCATTTATCTCACCTCATGCACAAGGGCCTGCCGTAAATGGGCAGCTTATGGGTCCTTCCTTCTGACACACTGCTGCACTGGAGCTAGGACGAGCTCCCTAACCCTGCCAGCACTCACAGCAGTCTAGTTTGGTTTTCACCTCCCTACCTGAGAGGCACCTAATTTTGTCTTTTTGGGTCATAGATAGGAAAGTATATTATATTTACTTGTTTTAAACTTTTTTTTTTTCAGTTACTTCCTGGTCTTCATGCCTAGGCAAATTATGTCATACATCCCAGTAGTCTTCAGGAGGGGAAGATGGGGCTTTCTCAGCTAAGGCAGATGGATTGCAGATTCCAGGAAGTAAATTCATCTGCCCTTACTTAAGATGGCCAGAAATGCAAGATGGGTGTTTTTCACTGTGATTTCTCAGCAAAATAAAGCATGGAGGCATGGATGGATGGAGGAGTTTGCTTTGAATATTAAAAATGATTAAATAATGTTTTTGGTTTGTGCTGCTTAGATGCAGAGTTTTTTATTCTTTAATTGCTGAAAAGTTCGATTTTTTTT